TAAAACCTGCAGCAACAGTATTCCATCAGAACTGAAACCCTAGCTCTAGATCAGGAATGGGGAACTATGGCCCTTTTATCATTTGTGGACTTCAACTCCCAGAATTCTTGAGCCAGCCATGCTGGCTCAGGAATTCTGGGAGTTGAAGTCCATGAGTCATAAAGGAGCCAAGGTTGCCTACCCCTGCACTAGGGCATATTAAGGCTGTAAGAGTTGCCAGAATAGAAAGTAAAAACATCTCTGGCAAACACCAGTGGCAAATTGCTTTCATATTTTTTGGAAAGGCATGAAATGGCTGGCGATAAAAATGAAGAATATATTTCTGTTCAGCTTGAATGAGATTATATCTCACCTTGCAGATTTTGGGAGATGCCATGCGTGTTTGTGTGGTGTGTGTGTATGCTTATTTTAAATATTTTACTTAGGGCGCTTAAAGGGAATTGGGGTGTGATTTTTCAGACTGTAATTTGGCTTTTCGTCTAAAAGTGTAGTTTGTTAGTTCATATCTCTTTATGCAGTACGTAGATTCAAAGGCATACTGCATACGTACATGTATTTTTTTAAAAATGCATTTGTGTGTTTCAAAATTGAAAAGTAAATAGAAACATGCCTTACAAAATAAGATATGTTTGGTTTTTTTGGGATGACTACACTGTTTTGAAAAATAAAAAAGGGAACTTTATTTAAGGGTTTAAGTTTAACTGAAACAAACTGCACTTGACAATTTTGCTAGATTGTGATCATCACAGAAAACAGGATATAGCTGCAAGAGCCTATTGTAATTGCAGCGAAAGGATCTCAGATTCAGAAATCAATAGCAGAGAATTGTGGCAAAAGGAAGAAATTTGGTGATTAAATGTTGTGATAATTTGGAATTCAAGTTGAATTTTGGGCAGCCACAGAAATGTATGATGTGCTTTTCATATTATTATAGCTGAAACTAGATAAGATTAAGAATTTGGCAAAGTTGAAAAGTAATTTGGTTAGATTGTGATTCACCTTCCTTTGATTGGGTTTCTTTTTATTGTGCAGCCATGCCAAAGAAATTCTCCGTTGTTTAAAAGAGAAGTATTTCAAGGAGATAGAGAACCTGGTGGTAGATGGTCAGAAAATTGAAATGCCGCAGCCATTAAGCTGGTAGGTTTGCACATATAGTTATTGACTGGTATAATAGTTGTTAATAATATATTTTGAGTATTAGCTTTGTATAGATTGCATATATTTGAAAGTAGCAATATGTTAAAAATAATTTCTGGCCAATTGTTCATGGACAAAATGCTGGTTTATGCTCATTGGTTTCTCTGTTTAAATAATGAGTAATGAAAGATTTCCAAAATATTCATATGTCTACTTTATTATTTTCTAACAGAATGAGTCTTTTTGAATTTGTGGATAGATTTACAGTTCTATAAGAATATGAAAAAAGAAAGAAAGAAAGAAAGAACATAATCTACAATTATTCACAAGATGAACAGTGTTCCAAATTTAGTCAGCTTTATTATTACAACCAGAACCAAATTACATGAAAAACCAATCACTAACTAATGACAAGTACAATGCCAATTCCCATCCAATGTTAGAAAAAAAATCTAGCTGTAATATACATGTATGCATACTCCATGTACTATTCACATTGTGTTAGAAAAGATTGTATACAGTTCAGGAAAAGAATTAAGGAGTAAACAAAATGCATTAAAGATAAGAATTAAGAAAAAAAGGAAATTAACTAGATTTAGTTGATATTGTTTACTATATCTCTTGATATCTTTGTAATTTTGCAAACCATCCTTGGCTTTCATCACCTTACAAGCACATGGTGACTTCTTTTTTGTGTTTGATTTTTCAATTACACAGCAGGCATCATCAATACTGTCTCATGTTCCTGAGCCTTTTCTAAAGCCTGCTTGAACATCTGACATGTCTTTTTCCATGTAGGGCTCTATTCTGTATTGGATGATCCTAAACCTTATTTTGTTAGCGTATAAAATTAAGGATATTGTACAAAGAAAAAATATCTGCTGCAAACTCTGTGTAGGCATCAGGAAGGGCATCCAGTCAGTAAACTCTCACTTACATCCATTCGCCCCAACTCTACTCTGAATTAAGGGATTACGGGGTTATAATAGGGAGTTTTATTATGTTATAAATATGATTTTCTTGGTAAAAATACACCATTGTAATTTTTTTGATTGCTATTGTTGGGAGTCAGGTAGCCTACAAGTTTAATAAATAATTGTGTGAATGGTTGTCTTTGGCATAGCCATTAAAGTGATAAACTGCCTCCAGCATCTTCCTATATTGCTGCTGCTAAACATAAGTGTCTGCTTGTTTTACCTGGGAACTAGTATGACCTTCATTCTTTGAATGACCCTGCTGGGAAATGTATACTCTAGGCATACACGCCTGCACTCATCCCTCCCAGGAATGCATCCTTCTGCTATGCTTAGGCTGCACAGCAGAACTTGGAGGTGGGAGGAATAGGGGTGATGTTTGCTTGCCTTAATTTTTTTTTTCATTTTCCCATCTGTAGGGAAAAATTAAGCAATTAATTTCCCCCATAACATATTTCTTTTAACACATTAACATCAATATTCATAGATACATTGAAGGGAATTTTTGTGCATTCATTTTAAAATGCAGTTGCAATCTTTTATGCCAGTTCAGAGATTCTTTATTCAAAATGCTTTATTTTATTAGGTACCCAGAGGAGTTGGCATGGCATACAAACCTAAACCGAAAAATCTTACGGAAATCTCCACAGTTAGAAAAATTTCATCATTTTCTTGTTAGTGAAACCGAATGTGTAAGTATTAGCTCACTTTTCATTCTGGGCTTCATATGATTTCTTGCATTCAAGAAACTTTTTATTCAGAGTTTGTGGGCAAGCTACCTGTTTTCATGTTTCTAATAAATTTGGAATAGGAACGCTACTGAAGTATTTCTTTAGAAATAGTAAAAAAGCCTGCATGTTATTTTTAAATCCTAGCCCTGTGAACTGTGATTCAAATTTGAAAAAAAGATTTTGTTCATATTAGTACTTTAATATCTTACATTTCTGACTACCAAACTATATATTAATATAGCTTGTTCATAGTAGGAGATAGCCTTGTTGTGAATAATGCTTTATTAAACTTCATTTTTGAGATGTCAAAGTTTTGCTTTGGGCAGTAATTATAACAATAAATTGACTCTGAGACAGGGGGTTTATACTGGGAACATCCATAGTCTTTTGAACTACTATCTCTATATACTATATAGAGTCAGTTTGGTCTAGTGCAGGGGTAGGCAACCTTGGCTCTTTTATGACTCGTGGACTTCAACTCCCAGAATTCCTGAGCCAGCCCAGGAATTCTGGGAGTTGAAGTCCACGAGTCATAAAAGAGCCAAGGTTGCCTACCCCTGGTCTAGTGATTAAGGCACTAGACTAGAAAAGGGGAGAGCATGAATTCAAGTCTCACCTTAACTATGAAAGCCAGCTGAGTGACCTTGGGCTAGTCACTCTGTCTCAGCCCAATTCACTTCACAGGGATGTTGTTATGGGAAAAATAGGAGAAAAATGTGTTGGATATGTTCACCACCTTGAGTTATTTGTAAAAATAACAAAGGTGGAATATAAATAAATACAAAATGAACAAAAATATTACATGCAAATTGAGGCATTTGAAATGAATTTTCCACATCCTTCCTATTGTTCAAAGACTAACCCTTCAGCATTCAAAATACAAATTAATGATGCCAGTTACTCAGTGCATTGAAGACCTGATACTTGTGACTTATGAATTAGTTGTTCATAGGAGTTGATTATGTATGGATATTACAATGAAAAATGATCATATTGTATCTAAAATATTGCATGCAACTTCATTTCTGCTCATTTTTATTTTAGTATCTCTACAAGTTGAGCTCATCTCTTAATCATTTCGTGGAAACATCCATATAGTTTTCTTGGAAGTATATGGACGTTTTAACCCCTTAGAGATTTTTTTAAAAAATTGATGAGTCTAGTCCAGTGGTGGTGAACCTATGGCATGGGTCCCAGAGGCGGCACTCAGAGCCCTCTCTGTGGGCACGCGCGCCATCGCCCCAGTCCTAGGCCTTCAGCTGGGTTTTATAAAACCTTTTTTGCTTTAGGCTTCCGCCGCTGTGTACAAAAAAAAAAAGTTCAGTCAATTTCAACTTCTCGCGGGAAAAAAAAGATCTTGCAAAGTTGGAATTGATTGATTGAACTTTTTAATCCCACCCAGTCTGCTGCTACCACCGCAGCCACGCCCACCCAATGGGCCACACCCACCCGGCACCCGACGATGCATAAGTGGGTTTTGGGTTGCAGTTTGGGCACTCGGTCTCTAAAAGGTTCGCCATCACTGGTCTAGTCTATAACTTTGGAATTTTTTGGAAGTTGCTTATTCGGGGGATTATCTTAAATTTAAGATATTTAAGTAAATTAAGATTTATATTTTCTTCTGTGTCTATAAATATAAAATGAAAGTGGAATTGTACACTATTTATTTTGTTTTAGGGGAATATTAGTCGTCAGGAAGCTGTCAGTATGATCCCTCCATTGCTTCTTAATATTCAGCCTCATCATAAGGTATTCTTGTATTATGATTTCTGAAATTATTTTGCAGAAAAAGCATAAAGGGAACATACATATTGATACTTAATACTACACATTTATATTGAATATCTTTTCTAATTGGGTTAATCAAAATTAATTGTAAAAGAATATAATGTGATGTAGCCTCCTCTGTGCTTTAAATATATAAAAATAAAATTTTACACTTGTCTTATCTTTTCCCTTATTTAACAGTTAATATATTTCATTTTTATGTTTGTATTATCCATGTGTTGGAACACCTTCCACCTATCTTTTCCCCAACCTTTAATGTAAAAACACCTATTACTACCTTCCTATCTTGCTTTATGCTCCAAAAGAGAAAAAAATGTGGCCCAGAATTCCCCCCCCCCTTCTTCTCACCTTCTTTCTTATTGTTGGCTTTTCCTGGGTTAGGGTTAGGATGAGATCATAGAAGAAAAAAAGCAGTGTTCCATACAGTTTCTAAACCAGGAGGTTCAGACACACATAATAATTCTAATCGGTCAAATTATTGGGTGGTCTCACAGTATTTTGGTCATTTTAAACATGAAAATATGTGGATTCTGCAAACATGTGCAGTAGGTGCTTTTTAAAATATATTTGAATTTCTGTGATTCTTTTTCTTGGAGATAATTATTTTCAGCTGTAATGACTAAATCAGAAAGCCTGTACTATAACTGAAAAATAATGTCTTGAAGAATTTAATATTGACTTGCTAATGCAAGACTCTTAATTCTGTAAGTTTCCTTCCCAAATCTCTCTACAAATACTGTTATATATAAGCATATATGCTTTAAGTTTGTTAAATAACATCAATAACTCTTTCTGTTAAACATCTTAATCTTGATAGATTCTAGATATGTGTGCTGCACCTGGATCCAAGACTGCCCAACTTATTGAGATGCTTCATGCAGACATGAGTGTTCCTTTTCCAGGTAAGTGAAGGAAAATTTTAATTCAGTAATCCAGATTGAAATAGCATAAAAGTAGCTGTAATAAATACATTTTAATTATGATGTTTTGAAAAGTGCAATTAGGCTTACTAAATTGACTATTGAATTCCTCTTAAAATCCCTTCATATTTCAACACTAGCTGTACCCGGTCACGCGTTGCTGTGGCTCAGTCTGGTTAAATGGAAAAGTTTTTATCTGTCACAGGTGTGACATCTATATAATAGTAGGTATATAAAAACACGCGCGTATTCGAATGCAACGTTGTGTCAAAATTTCAAAGCAATCGGTGAAGAACTTTCGGAGATTTAAGATTTTGAACAAATGAACATTTACATTTTATTTACCGTATTTATCGGCGTATAACACGCACAGGCGTATAACACGCACCTTCATTTTAAGAGGGAAATTTCAAGAAAAAAAAAGCGCCGGCTCGAGAGCGAAAGCAAAAGGGGAGGGGGAGTGGGGCTTCGTTCACACGCGGATCCCCATGCTCGTATTTATTTACCGTATTATGCCCCGGCTGGCGGCGGCGGCGGCAGAAACAGCAGCCTCCTTCTTCGGGTAGCTCCGATTCCCTCCCCCCGTGTCGCCTCTGAGCTGCAGGACTCCGCCGCTTGCTTTATAAATCCTTGGCTGCTGCTCCATCTTTTCTTTTCCCACCAACCGCCCCCCCTCCCTCGACCCCTCCCGCTTTGCAGAAACGCCTGGATAGTGAGAAGCTGGAACCGGGCGGGCAGAAAAAAAAGGGGGGGAAATCCACA